CATCTTCCCTTGTTTGAAGCTTGGTCAGTGCTGGGCTTGTGTTGCAGGCTGTCCTGCCTGCTGGGGGAAAAGAAAGAACTGATCTCTGAGTTACCAGTCCCAGTAAAGGCTGTCCCCAGACAGGACTCTGCAGGCTCAGAGCAGAGGCTCCTGGTGGAAAGCAGCCTCCTGACTCACTCTGTCCTCTTCCCATACAAGGAGAAAGTTTTTAAACTGTACATTGCATTTTCCCCTTGGTAGCTGTAAAACCAGGAGTTATAATAAATCCATAGCTCAGCCTGCTTCTGCAGGACAGCCTTTGCAGTGTGAGCAGGAAGGGCACTGCTCACAGAGCCCAGTGGCAGGGCAGGGGGGAGCTCACCCTCTGACCAGGCTGGCTCAGTGTGGCAGGAGCTCTGCAGCCCCAGCAGCGGGGACACCACCCTGGCCCCGTGCCCAGCTCCCTTTGGGGCAGAGGGCCTTGTCCCAGCCAGGTCCCCGGGCACCAGGCTCCTGCAGGACCCCGTGCCACAGACCAGGCTCCTGGGGGAGTCTGCTTCCCAGCAAAGCACACCCAGTCCTCCTCTTCATGCTATCTCCCATAGAATTGTGCAAAACCACGTTGCTAACCTCATATTTTTCAGATTAATTTCAGCAGCATCAGCATATTGGCAGTTCACTTAACTAATTATTGAATGTGTTTGTTTTCATTCAAAATATCCCCAGTAATAATTGTTGGCTCTCTTGTTATAAAAGATGCCAGAACCTATTTCAATTATTATTAGTTTTGGAGTAGAAATGACATTTTTAATATCCTCCTGGATGCTTATTGCCACAGGAAATTGCCACGGGAGTCCAGTATCATCCTTTCTGTAACTGATATTTGTATTCTTCTCATTTCTCCCCTGGCGTCACCCAGCACTCCCCAAGCAGCAATCACACCTGACCAGGGAAACAATCCTGTCCTGCTTTACTGAGCTCCAAGGCAATGACAAGAGCAAGACTTTCCTGTAGGACAAAATTTCTGACCAGCAGTAAAATGTATTCAAAATAACCTTTGAGGTCCCTTCCAACCCTAGAAACCATTCTAGCATTCAATGATTCTTTGCACAGGTCTGCTGTGCCAAGAACATGAGGCTCATCCCCCGTGTCCATCAGGAGGGTCACAGCAGCTCTACAGAGTCCCCAGCGACCAGGCATTTTCCATGAATGCTGAGCTGGAGAAATAAATGTTGAAAGAAAAAAGGAACTTGGGCCCTACTGTCACAAGGGTCTTTCATAAAGTTTCTGGGACAAATTCCTTCACTCCTCTGGCTTCTCCCAGCAAACGCAAGGCTGGGTAAGTAGAGTAGAAAGTTCCCCCATCTCAATCAGGTTAAAATTTGGGTCTAACAGGTGTTGGTGCAGCCAGACCATCATCTCAGAAGGGCAACTAAAATCAGAATCTGCAACAAAACTAAGAATCAATACACAAAAATAACACACTAGAGAAATACATTTAAAAGATCCATTTTCAGATGCACCTTTTGGTACCTGCATCCACCTCAGCCACGCACAGTTCTCACCTGGACTGGAATTCTGTCTGTGAACTGAAGTGAAAAGAGTGGAGCTCAGTGCTCGTGTAACTGATCTGCTGGTCATCCCAAACTTCTCACCTCAGTGCCCAAATTGCTTTCTACAGACCCAATCCAAAGCCTGTGGAAATAAAGAGAAGATTTTCTATTACGTGCCGTGGACTTTGGATGGAGCCTGGCCTCTTGCAGGGCCAGTCGCTGCAAGACATCAGTGCATAGGAATTGAGTCATGATTTTATAAACTGGGTATTTTATGAATAATGTTCTCAGGCTGAGCCCCTAAAGTGCAGAAGAGATTGGTTTTATGCAGGTTTAATCATAAGGCCCAGTGTCTATAATCAGAGAAATGCATTCTCCTTCCCCCGGACGGGGAAGGTCAGACATCCAGCACATCCCCTCACTGCAGCACCAGCTCGTCCCAGCTTCTGATTCCCAAACTCACTCCTGATTTATTGCCCAGGCTACGTTCACAGCGGGCTGTCTGCAGGCTGGACAGAGGTCTGGAGGATAAATGCTGAGGGTCCCACATGCCTGCTCCACGTCCAGCCCTTCTGCAGAGGAGCGGGGCGTTCCCAGCCCTGGGAGCTGCTGCAGCTGCCTCTGCACGGGGCACAGGCGATGCCACTGGGCCCTGTCACACTGTGACTCTGCCCACGCAGCCATGCTCTGACCCACTGTGGCAGAAACAGGTGCTCCAGCCATTTTCCACCAGCATTTTCCTCAGCCTTGTTCTCTTACACAGCCAGGCTTGCAGAGCCCACGGCCAGCTGCTGCACTTCAGAGTCAAACCACTGTGAGCTGAGCGCAGCAATTCAGCATGAGATGGCGTTAAAAAGAAGGACTTTAAGAGAAGCTGGCCCAGATTCAGCAGCAGGATATGGATTTAAAGCACAAGACCAAATCCTGTGCCCCACTTGGCCTTGCAGCTATTGAGATATATCTCTGAGCTCCTGGCAAGGCGATCAGCTTTCTACCTAAACGTTGGCACATCCTCCTCTCAGTGCTCTGAGGCACCTCCTGTGACCCCGGCCACGGTCGCTGCAGCTGCACGTGTACCAGAGCAGTGGCACTGCAGGCTGGGGGCTCGGCAGGAGCTGCACCAGTGCTCATAAACAGCTCCTCTGCTCCCCGAGGCAGTCATGCAGCTGGCAGCCACAATTAGTTGTGCAGATAAACAGCTACCAGGACTCCGTCCCTGGGATGGATTGGCAGACTTCTATCATGTAATCAGTTTTACAGACTGCGATCTGAGCTCCTCTGCCTTCTCTCCCTGCTTTCCCACAAAACCAAGCTCACACAGCCCTTGCTGGCAGTAACAAAATCTGTCTGAATCCCAAAGTCAGGCACTCATGAAATCAAAGCCACTGCTCCCAGGTGAATTGGCTCCAATGATGCTCTTTGTTGATCACTAGAATAAGACTGCACCTGCCTGAGCAATAATGCAACTTCTTCCAAAGGAGGAAGAACTCATACTGCAGCCCAGGGATGTGCTCTTGGTGACCACACCAGGGACAGGGGAAGGAGCACAGGGAATGTTGCTGTGGTCCATTTCTTCCATTTTTCAGTTCTCTTATTTGTCCCCTCTTCTTCCCCCAGAGACCATTCACAGGTGTTTGTTTGCTGCCTTCTCCATTCCTGTGACTATTCCCCTCCACATGGCAGAGAGGTTGCATTGCACATCCTTTCCTAGCTCTGGGGCTCACACAGTGTGACTTCCAGAAAAACACAGCACTTGCTCACCATCCCTGGGCCACATCCTTGCCTGCAGTACCCTCGGGAACCTGGGCACTGTCAGCGCACAGCAAACAGCTCTTCCCTTCTGTGCCACCCTCCTGCAGAACACCCCACATTCTCTCTCACCTTTTACATCTCAATTACACTTGCAATAGAGTCCTGGAAGCATGCAATCCTTAAGGTTGGCAATGATCTCCAAGACCACCAGGCCTAACCAAAACATTTCCTCGTGGGAGAGGGGCTGTGACTGCCGTTGGCTCACGTTGTCACTGCTTCAACCCGAGCTCATTTCTGCTCCCCTCCCAGAGAGAGCAGGGAGGAGGCAAACACACCACCCACAGTGGGTAGTTCTGCTGTGTTTATTCTGGCCATAACTGCTCCAGTTTATTCCTCATGAATCCTCTTGCTGCCTGCCGTCTCCTCGGGTGGCAGCTCCAGGCACTGGAGCCACAGGTAAAGCCACGGGTGCTGCCAGTGCCCTGCCCCACAGGATGGCAGGTGAGGAGCAGCCAGCGCCCAGAGCCTCCGCCAAGCCCCAGGGCCCTTAGCAGCGTTAGAGTGCTTTGAGAGCTCCCAGAAAAGCACATTCCTTCTGTCTCCCCTGAAACTGCAGCTCGGGGGCAAATGGTGAAAGGCACCTGCCTCACCTCCTGTGGCACAGCACGAGGCAGGGCTGGGCACAGCGCGGTGCCATGGTGCTGAATTTCCTGGAACGCCACAGCTCTGTCTTTCGGCCTCCTGAAACCCCTCCCGGGTCCCCTGCAAAGCAGCCCGTGCTCCGGGCTGGGCACAGGCACGAGTGGGCAGCACAGAGCCCAAGCCTCCCCCCAGGCATCCAGGCAGCCCTGCCTCCCTCTTACTGAGGGGTTCCTTTTCAGACTGACACATAGCACCAGCTGAAGTAACCTGGTATGAAAACTGTTCATGATGAAAGATGTTTCTAATTCAAGAAGCTTTCATAGCCTTGAAAAGTGTGAGAGTTAATTTGCAACTATGTCTGTGCAAGAGGTGACAAAACAGTTAAGTGAGGAAATAATAAAGATATTGCCATCCTCTCTCGAGGATCTTGTGTCTCTAATTTAATAGTTTTAAGCTTTTTAAAGCATTTGCCAGCACGGTTTTCTCACTTTAGCTGGGCACAGCTTGTGACCTCCATCTGAGTCATGTCAAATCCCAACGCTCGTGAGTGTGTGAATAAAATCCTGTTTCCTTTGTCTCAGTGCCCTGGACAGCGTTTGTTGAAGCAGCCTTGGTACGGGGGCCAGCTGGGGCGGGCAGGGCAGCGAGGGACCCGCAGCTGCCGCTGACCTGCCAGTTCAGGTCCCACCTGGGCTGGAATGGTGGTCCTGCCCAGCCAAGAGGAAGAGTGTCTTGGCCCAGGGGTGACCCTGTGGTCACCAAGCACCCATGGCCCCATGCCAGGCCCCAAGGGCTCCCCAGGGTGCACCACATGTGGGGCTGGGGGCAGCTTCACACAGGATTTGGCAATATAAAAAACCACCCAGGCTGGTTTATCCGTGGACACAGGGAAATCTGTCTCAATGTAAAAAGGAAAAGGTGGATCAAGAAGGAGAGAAATCTCACACAAAAAAACCTAACTAAATTACAAGAGCATCAATAAATCTCAGATTATTCTTATTCAAATAGGACCTGGACCCCCACTGCTGGCTGATTGCACTGACTGAGATCAGACACAGACAAGGAAACAGAAAAGGGCTTTTTTACATCTTCACATTTATTAGGCAAGAAAAACGTAGGTGTTCTTCCATGGGACTGCTGTGCTGATCCGTGACATTCTCCTCGTGCTGTTCTGCCTTGACTCAGCAGTCTGAATAATTCCAGTATTTTACCTTCCTGCAGGAACCTGCTGAGGGAAGTACCACACTTCTTCTCACACCTGAGGAAAGCCTTGCACGTGTCAAAGGAATATGTTTGAAGGGGTTTTCCCTACAAAAGCTGAAGAAGAGAGAACTTAGGAAGTGTGCACTTTGGATTCTCATTCCTTAACCAGCCCTGTGGCAGCAGCACCAGCCAAGCCTCAGCCCGCCCCACAGGAACCAGAGAGGCGAATTTGGGGAGCAGGATTCCAGCATCCTTCAGCTTTTGGTGTCTCCAACTCTCCACTGTCCTGGCAGAGAGACTGAACAGCCAAAATCCGTGACAAGCCCTGAATTGTCCCTCTCCCTGGAAAATGGGTGTCTGTGTGCAGAGCCTGAGTCGCTGCCGTTCATTACCCCCTCCTTGTGCTGCTAACTGTGAATAAGCAGCAACACTTTGATAAAGTTTGCAAAAGCATAATTAGTCCTACAGGCACAGTATTTTCCCATTTCAAATGCTGCTTCCCCAGCTGCACTTTGCAGATTTATGATTTCAAAAGCAGCTGATCGCAGCCTCTACTGCAGCTCAAGAATTGAGAGGTTTGGGCTTAATGACATTCAAAACCTTATTAAAATATAAGCAGAGAGAGATGCAGTACATGATCCTCCATTTTCTTTGTTATGTGCATCTGTCACAATCTAAAGATGTGAGAAAAAAGAAAAATCTAATACAAACAGACTTTATCAGAAATTCTGC